CTCTCTCTCTCTCTCTCTCTCTCTCTCTCTCTCTCTCTCTCTCTCTCTCTCTCTCTCTCTCTCTCTCTCTCTCTCTCTCTCTCTCTCTCTCTCTCTCTCTCTCTCTCTCGCTCTCTCTCTCGCTCTCTCGCTCTCTCTCTCGCTCTCTCTCTCGCTCGCTCACTCACTTACTTTTTACAATTCGACGTCTTTATTCTGTTTGACGGATGAATAATTTACCGGGATAAGCAATAAAATTCACACGGCACTTGACATGCAACAAATCCATACCGAGATTTATAAGACATACATTTTTTTTCGTATCACGTATCGAATTTACTCACGTAAATGAATGATTTATAAATCGATTTAATATATAAATCAATTTCGTAAAATTATTCATCCGTCAAACAGAATAAAGACGTCGAATTTGTAAAAGGTAAGTGAGTGAGCGAGCGAGAGAGAGAAAGAGAGAAAAAGAGAGGTGTGTGTGCGTGTGCGTGGGCGTGTGCGTGTGCGTGTGCGTGTGCGTGTGCGTGTGCGTGCGTGTTTTATCACGTGTGTTTGATCGCAACGTGCATCCCGTAATCACCCGTGTCGAATGGAGTTGCGCCGCTCCTGCTTATCTTCTGTGTTCGTCCCGTGATTTGATAACTTTTTTCTTTTATAACTTGAAAAATAAGCTGCAGACAAAATTTTTGTAAAGGAAAAATCGTCTCAGAATTAACTCAAGAATACGTCTGTGCAAGAACACCTGGGTTGTTCTGAATCACCCTGTATAACTAACTTCTTGCATAAAGCAGCCAATACAATTAGCAATTTTTATAGATTTTTTATCGCTGAAAACGAATCCGCTAATAAAATTGCCTTATCACATTTTTAAGATACTTTAGCTTAAAAGTACTCAAAAATGCTACTTTCGGCACTTTTAAGTTCAATTTTCTCTAAAATGTGACGTGATAGAACAATTTCATTAGTGGATTTGTTTTCAGTGACAAAAAATCTATAAGAATTATCTTGTCTGGTTTGTGGTCTTGTGTGTCGAAAGACGACAACGAAATTGCTATTAATAAATAAGCCATTTTGTAATTTTACAAGCATGATTGCTAAAACGACCTGCGTATTCAACAATCTTATTTTTATTAAGCAAGGCGCTGACGCACGCACTCGTTCCAAAGTCCGAGTACTGCCGCGCCCAAAGTAGGATAATGCTGATCAGTATTTTGTCACTAAGTGGGCCTATTGCTAAACGCTGCCCTACTGTGCCCAAATACTGATCAGTATAAATAATCACTGCATAAAGAATGCAGTGAGTTATTAGACCGACAATCTTGTCAAGTGCGCGTCGCGTCGGAAGGTCCGAAAAGTGATCGATAAAACGTGTAAACGAGACTTGTGTGAGAATAAAATTACGTTTATTACTCAATCGGTCTACATATTCTGTTAACCCTGGTTCAACCCCCCTGGTCCTGCACGGCGAATCTCGAAAGAACCCTTGCGCTAACCATCCACGGAAACGGGAGCGTAACAGTCTAAAATTCGTGTCACACAGTGTTATCAGTGAATTCTATGCATACTGGAATGAGTATTGCCGTAAAGCCAGCCGAGCTTGTTTGTGAGATAGAAAACCGATAGAGAGACAGAGAAAGCATCACCTGCTATGGAGATTATTATTATTTTTTCTATTTAGCTAAACATGAGACAGAATAAACATGACGATTTAGCAACTCTCTCCCTTGGCTCAAGGTCATTGGGCAAAATTCCTCCTTATGCGCTTTCCAGTATATAGTTCAATGATAATTATAGACTTTGTTTTGCATCGAAAGCACTAGGTGATAGGGGTAGACCTTGCTTTGCACAAAAAATTGCAAACCTTTGTGGAACCGTATAATTATAGACCTAGTTTTGCATTCGAAGCACCTGGTGATAGGGGTACCCCTTGCTTTGCGCGAAAGTTGCAAACCTATGTAGAATCGTATAATTATAAAGCTAGTTTTGTATCCAAAGCACTATTTTTATGATTTTTACGCGTGGGCACGGGATGTGTCCGATTGCAACCACCGTGTGTTCGTTTCCTATTGTGTCTGATTGTCATTGTGTCCGATTCCAACCACCGTGTGTCCGTTTCTTATAGTGTCCGACTCTGTATCCGATTCATTCAACCTGCTATGTCCAATTTATTCTGTGCGCAACTGGAACTTACTCTTCAAGAGTACTTAGAAAAGATAGTTACTCCAGATGACCGTCGTCTCAAAACGATCCGTGAGAAGGCCGAAAGGAATATCCTAAAGAGTCAAGAGTACAATCAGCGTAATTTTGATCAGAGTAGAAAAAACCACGTCAATACAAAGAGGGTACATATGTAGGGATACGGAATTTCAATAGTATCCCTGGAGCACCAAAAAAATTTGTTCCCGAGTTTATGGGACCCTATGAGATAGCCAAAGTTCTTAGAAACGATAGATATATAATTAGAAACGTGAAGAATTTCCAATCAGCGCAACGTCCCTATGAAGTGCGACGTGAACTAGCCTTGGAATCACGACAGATCCAAAGGAGCACGCCCAATGGAAATCGGTAACCCGCGGTGCTCCACGATCTTCGGGAGTTAGGTAGCTTACGCGGCGTCGGCAGTAAATGCACGACTCGGTAACTCGTGGTATCGGCAATAAATGCTCGATTCGGTAACTCGCGGTATCGGCAATAGATGCTCGATTCGGTAACTCGCAAAATCGGCAATAACTGCACGATTCGGTAACTCGCGGTACTCCACGCACGTCGGGAGCAAGGTAACTCGCGAAATCGGTATCCGGAAATGGGCGCCAGGTGCGTATAATCGCACCACGTTAACGGTAACTTCAATAATTCTTTTAATATGTCCGGCCGCTCCCCGCTCAGTATATGGCAGAGGGGCGTAGTTCTTTTGATTTCTATTGGGGATTCTGGAGAGGAGATGTCAGAAAAACACCACGTTTAACAATAAAAATTAATAACACTTATTATTAAAGAATCGTGAATTAACATAGCTGAACAAGCTTTAGAATCTCTTTAAGAGAGACGGTATCGCACGCAAATCAACACATCATATTCGCCAAA